AGTTCTTAGCCGACCAACAGTGAACACTTAACTGCCATAGCATAAAAAAAAGAAAAAAATTTGCAGACCAACCAATGACTGGTGAAGAAGCACGGTGAAGGGTGCTTCTAGTCTCTAAAAGGAGGATCTGCTAAGAGTTTCCCGCCGCTTACCTTCCCGTGACAGGCCTGTGTCTGCTGTTACCTGGTGTCACGTGACTCCTGCACTCGGGCTTACAGCAGTGAAGTTACAGATGTGCAGAGTGTATACAATCTTTACCAGTTGTCCTGGACTCACTTCGTGGACTAGGCTGGCCTCAGTATCACAGAGGTCCGCCTGCCTCTGCCTCCCAAGTGCTGGGATTACAGGCGTGTGCCACCACTGCCCAGCTCTTTACCAGTATTAAAAGTTTAACTTTATTATTTTTTTGTTCCACATGACATATCTCTACTCATCTACGTGGAGGACTGGGATGGCTTATAGGTGAATATCCTTTAAAAATGAAATCAAGTGATTTTAGCATCTGTTTGGACGACAAATGTTTGAAATCACATTTCATGGAGTTCTCATTGTTTGAAATGACATCCCCACCTCCCTTGTTCCCAATAACCACAGACGTGGAGAGAGTAGGTGTGGTTCACTCTCAGAACATACTTGCTCCCCAGAGGGCAGCCGTGCATTCGAGGTTTCTCAGTCACATCCACGTGCACAGGAAACGACTATTGACACAATGTTTAAGCATATTCAAGAGTATTCTCCAGCTTATAACTGAAAAGCTCCCCGGAGTTAAATGCTCTGGCAGAACTTACTAGGAAGCATTGGAGCAACTGATGTCTAGTTCAGTTAACTGGGTTCTCTGATGAGTTGAAACTAAGACTTGTGTCAACACTGGAAGGGAAATCCTTCCGGCTTTGTGTAGTTAAGCAAGAATATTCCCAGCCGTGCCGCCTTCCCAGCTGTGTGGCGCTCTCAGCCCATAGACATCAAATCTACAGGATTTGAGAGGACTACAGGAATTTTCAGTGTGACAGTTACATGTAAGACCACCAGCCACCACTGTGCAATACAAGTGTACAGCCATTGCTCGGAGATACACAACTTTATAATATTTCTCTTGTGTTCTTTGAAAAGCGTGGAACCTTAGTGGTTTGGTATTTTTTAAGTTACAGAAACAAAGGAAAAATAAAAACTCCAACATGTACAGCTTGGAGAAAAGACCCTACACCACTATTATCCAGAAGGCTTGTTGGAAACCCTACAGCAGTAATTAAAAAAACAAACCATGGATTATTACCAGACTAGAGCAGAGTCTACTTTTTCAAGTAAAGGATATGCTCAATATAATTTGGGATAACACACAGAAAAGTGCATTTTGATGAAGCCATCTCCTCAAAAGCTAATATTTAGCTTTGGGCCAGAAACAATCTGATTTGTAGCTTTTCCCAGCAAAGCAGAACAAGACTGTTTTGCTTAACAGCCAACAAGCAACTTGTTTTATCATAATGGCAAACGGTTGGTTCACCAACCTGTGAACGATTCATGTGGCACTGTAGAGCCTGGAATTTTACCTGGGGATAGCTTCCTGAGGGGGCTGGAGAGATGGCTCAGAGGTTAAGAACACTGCCTGTTCTTTCCAAATGTCCTGAGTTCAAGTCTTAGTAACTACATGGTGGTTCATAACCATCTATAATGAGATCTGGTACCCTCTTCTGGAATGAAGGCACACATACAGGCAGAACACTGTATAAATAAATAAATAAATAATAAATCTATTTATAAAAGGAAGGAAGGAAGGAAGGAAGGAAGGAAGGAAGGAAGGAAGGAAGGAAGGAAGGAA